TGCTCGCCGCGGCCGCCGCCCACCCTGCCCCCAAACGGAGCCCCTGGGCGCAGCCGGGTCCTGAGGCCGCGCGCCCCCCCCGCTCAGCCGCCAGCCCGGGCAGGGGCTGCGGGTGCCCGCCCGGTCCCTGGAGTGGGCACCGGCCAGAGCCCCACACCCACAGCACGGGGCCCGGGACACCCGCGGCCCCCACCCCGGGAGTGAGGGCGGGACGGACGCCCCCTCGTCCTCCAGCCGGGGGGCCGCGGGGGTGGGAGGGCCCAGCCCCAGCCCCCCACATCCAGGGCGCCCCTCGCCCGCCAGGCCCGCCCTGCGCAGCCCGGCCCCTCCCGCGCTCGCCCGTGTGAGCCGGGAGCCCCGCGCGGTTCCCACACTCCGGGCCATTCAGGGCGGCGCGGCCACAAAGGCCGGCGTGTGCCTCCGCGGGCCGCCATCTGGCGCCCGGCGCCGCCTCATTTCGTTCCCGCCTCCGAGAACTGGATCAAAGCGGCTCCAGGGCAGGGGAGGCTGGGGGGGGCGGCCCACCACCCGCCACCCTCCCCTCGGCCCCCACCCTGCCGGGGCACGCGTCTCCCGGGGGCTGAGCCGGCCTGGGGGAGCCGCGGGGAGGGCGCGGCCCACGCCCCGGGGAGAGGGAGCAGGAGGGCGCTGCCTCCCCTCCAGGCAGAGCCCCGCGGTCCTCCGGGCCGGCCAGCCAGGCGGTCGGGGCACACGTGGGCTCGGCCCGGTGCCAGCCGGTGGAGGCCAAGGCCCGGCTGGCAGGCGTGGGGCTCGCCCGGTCCCGGGGCCGCTCGGCCCTGCCTGCACTTCCTGGGCTCTCCCCGGGCCAAGGGGGTGGGAGACGGGACGCGGGTGCCCAAGTCACGCTGCCCTCCCCGCCCCACCCAGCGCACACTGGGCAGATGCCCCTCAGCGGCTCTGGCTCCCCGGCCCGGCCCCACTTGGCTGCAGAAGGGTCCTCGGGCATCCGTGCAGCCCGGGGCCAGGCCGGGGGGCCAGGCCAGAAGAGCAGAGGGCGAGCGTGTGACATCACACCCCCCACACCCACACACACACCCACACCCACACCCCGCGGCCTGCGGAGCCGCTGCCTGGCGCAGGGAGCACGGAGGAGGCCCCCGCAGCAGGGCGGGCAGCAGAGTGGAGCCCCAGCTCGGGGCGGGGGGAGCCCAGCTCAGGGGCCTCTGCCCTCAGCATCACCGCCCCCAGCTGGGAGCCTGTGTCCCTCTCAAAGGAGGCGCTGTTGGGGGGAGCAGGGGGGAGCAGGCACCAGAGGGAGCAGGGGCTCCCCACCGCCCCCTCCTCCAAACACCGAAGGCCCCCTGGGGAGACCCCGGCCTGACCCTTTCCGGAGGGGAGCCGGCCGGCCTGGGCGCCGCTGACCCGCAGCCGGGCCCCTGCTTCCTGGGCGGGCGCCGCGTGCTGGGGACTCGGGGCAGGTCTCGCCGCTGGGGTCACTGCCCAGAGCGCTGGAGGGAGCACGGCTGGACCCCGGGTAGGGCCCTCGCGCCCCCCCCACAGGCCGTGCGACCTTGGCCCTGGAGGTGAACGCGGGTCGCCGAGTCCTGGTGGGCCCGGCTCGGCCCAGGTGGACACCCTGGGGCCTGGCCAGGTCCCCGCCCTCCCGGCTGACCCAGCAGCCCCTCCCCGCACCCCTGCTGTACCCTGCTGCTGGGGGGGTGCGCACTCCGGGCAGGGGCTCCATGGGGCCTCCGCTCTGCGCCCCCACTAGGAGCCCCGGGTGGGCTGGTGGCCCTGAAGCCACGGGTGGGGCCTGGCCGGGCGCCCGGGGCCTGGGGGCCCAGGTGTGGGCTCCAGACCTGCCCTGACCGGGTCTGCCGCCTGCCACCCCTGCTCCCCACGGCTGGCCAGGCGCCCTGGGAAGAAGACCCCCGGGCGCCCCAGTCTTGGCTGTGCGGGTGTGGGGGGCACCGGGGGCCCAGCCGAGCGGGGAGGGCCCTGAGGGTTCAGAGGCTCCGGCTGACAGCTGCTCCCCAGAGGATGGGGCTGCGGGGGCGGGGACCCCACAGTCAGCTTCCAGGCCCCCCGCGGGGCACGTCCCCCCTCTGGGCCCGGCCGGGGCGGAGGCGCGGGCCGGCCCGGGGCGCCCCTCGGGCCGCGCACCCCACGCCGCGCCGCTCCCTTCCCGCGCGCGGGCCGGCGGCCTCGGGGCGCCCCGCCCGCCCCGCCCCGCCCCGCCCCGCCCGGGAAAGGCCGCACGTCGAGGGCGGGCGGCCGGGATGCTAATGAGGCGGCGCGTTCCCACCGCCGACATTGTGCGCCCACCTGCTCCGCGGGCGCTTTGTGCCGCGCCGAGGCTCCGGCCATTCAGCGCGCGGCCTTTGTGCGCCCGCCGCGCCATTGGCCCGCGAGTGTGGGAACCGCCGCGCCCCGGCCGCGCCGCCCCCGGCCTATATAGGGGCGCCCGCCGGGCCCGCCGCGCGCCGCCGCCAGCATGGCCCCCAGCCCGCGGCCCTGGAGCTGCTCAGCCCCAAGGAGAAGAACCGAGTAAGTGCGCGGCCGCCGCGCGCCCGCCCCGCGCCCCCGGCCGCGCTGACGCCCCGTCCCCCGCAGCTGCGCAAGCCCGTGGTGGAGAAGATGCGCCGCGACCGCATCAACAGCAGCATCGAGCAGCTCAAGCTGCTGCTGGAGCAGGAGTTCGCGCGCCACCAGCCCAACTCCAAGCTGGAGAAGGCGGACGTGCTGGAGATGGCCGTCAGCTACCTGAAGCACAGCAAGGGTGAGCGCGCCCGCCCGCCCCGCCCGCGCCCGCGCCCCGCGCCCGCCCGCGCCCCCGACCCGCCCGCGCCCCGACCGCCCCGCGCCCCGACCGCCCCGCGCCCCGACCGCCCCGCGCCCCGACCGCGCCCCGAGCCCCGCCCCGCCCGGGCCCCGCACGCGCTCTCACGCGCCCTCTCCGCAGCCTTCGCCGCCGCGGGGCCGCCGGGCCGGCGCCAGGACTACAGCGAGGGCTACTCGTGGTGCCTGCAGGAGGCCGTGCAGTTCCTCACGCTGCACGCGGCCAGCGACACGCACCTGAAGCTGCTCGGCCACTTCCAGCGCCCGCCCGCCGCGCCCGCCGCGCCCCCCGCGCCGCGGCCAAGGCGCCCGCCGCGCCCCCCGCGCCCGCCCCCGCGCACACCGCGCCCCGCGCGCGCCCCGCGCCGGCCTCTGGCGGCCCTGGTGACCCTGACCCGGCGCGCGCGGCCCCCGGCGGGCCCTGCGGCCGCGCCCCGAGCGCGTCTCGGCCTCTGACTTCTGCGAAGTCCCGCGGCGGGTCCGCGGCGCGCGGCGTCGGGGCGGCCCCGGCCCAGGCGACCCGGCGCGCCCCGGGGCCGCCGCCGCACGTTGCCTTTCGTGAAGGCGCAGTCAAAGGGCTCCTCATAGGAGCTGCGGGGGCCGCGGGCGGCCGGGGCTGGGGCGGGGCTCCACTATGATCCTCAAAGGATCGGGGCGCGGGGCGCGGGGGCGCCCCCGCCCGACTCTGTACCGCACGTGCGCGCTAATAAAGTCGGGCTCCTCGGCTCCGCTGTCTCCTGCCTCGCGCGCCCGGGAGCCGCAGGCCGCGCCCCGGCGGGGGGGGCGCCCCACGCGCGCCACGGGGTCTCCTGCCGCGGGCGCGGAACCGGCGCGGGCGGGCGGGCGGGGCGCGCAGGGACGCAGAGGAGGCCTTGGGGAGCGAGGCCTGGCGGGAATGGAAAGGGTGTGGGGGGACCCCTGCAGGGGGGGCGCAAAACGCAGCAACAGGATGCCCGGCTCCGTCCAGCCAGGGCTCCGTCCAGCCAGGGCCGCAGGGCGCAAAGGGGCGTCGCCGGCCAGACGCACCCAAGGGCCACCCCCAGCGGGCCTCCCGAGGCCACAGCGCCGCTCCCCGGCCCCGCTGCCCGGCGCCCCCACCCCGCTGCCCGCCCTCCCCCGCGCCGCTGGCCGGGGCTGCCGCCGGGGGTCTGGTGGCCACACGGCCCAGGGCGGCCCCTCTCGGGGGGCGCCTGTTTTAGGCGGGTTCAGAGCCGCAGCCCGAGGCACCGGGTGCCCCCCTGGGGCGAGCACCTCCAGGGTAGGAGGGCTGGACGGGGCCCTGGGGCCCAGCCCCCCCCCCCCCCCCCAGCGGACAGGGATCCCCTCCGTCCACTCTGCAGGGCGGGCCCATCGCGCCCCCCAGGCCAGCCCAGTGCCTGCCAATGGCCTTTGGGGTCACAGGAGGCCCCTGGATCGGCCGCAGGGACGGGGGCTCCCGCCTTCTGCGAACGCTCACTCGCCAGCGCAGCACCCCGGGGGTCCGCCCGGCCCTGGACTGGGGGTGTGGCCCCCAGCTGACCCCGCGCCCCGCCGAGGTCTGCAGCCTCGCGGGGGCCGCCCGAGCGCACACCGCCCGCCGCCCACGCGGCCCCCCATGCCCGCCCGGCGCGGGGCGCCCGGGCTGGGTCTGCCCGCGGGAGGGAGGCCGGTGCCAGGGGGCCGGGGTCGCGCTGGCGCGCCCCCCAAGCGCTTTCCCCAAGTGCCGCCGAGGGGCAACCCAAGAATTCTCATCAGCGGGGCTTCTCGGGGCGGCCCCGGAGCCCTCTCCCGCCGCGCCGTGTCCCCCCGGTCCCCCCCCGCGCCCCCCCGCGCCCGCCGGCTCCAGCTGACGGTCCCCGCAAACTCCCAGCAGAGGGCGACTCCTCCAGCGGGCCCCCCGCGCCCCCCCCGCCGGGTGCCTCCAGGCTCGGTCCCCCGGTTCCCCCTGGCCCCGAGTCCTGCGCCCCGGCCCGGCCCGGCAGGGCGCGCGTCTGCGGCCGCCGCGCAGGGCGGGTCCCCGGCGGCCCGCGAGCCCGAGGCGCCCCCGGCACGCCGGCCCCCGGCAGCTCCGCGAAGCGGCCCCGCGGACGACGGCCCGGCCTCTCCGGGGCCGCCCTGGCGCCCGGGCGGGCCCCGGGGTGCTCCGGGGCGGCGGGGCGGGGCGGGCCTCATTAGCATAATCTATGCGCGAGGGCGTTTAGCAGTCAAATCTATGCGCATATATCTCCATGGATGATGAGGCCGGCCGGCGCATTCAAAATGGCGGAGAGCGGGGCGAGCGGCGGCGGCGGCGGCAGCGGCGGGGACAGCCTGGACAAGAGCATCACGCTGCCCCCCGACGAGATCTTCCGCAACCTGGAGAACGCCAAGCGCTTCGCCATCGACATCGGTAGCCGCGGGCGGGCGCGGGGCGGGCGGCGCGCGGGGGGCGTGGGCGCGGGCGGCGGCCCGGGGGCGGCGGCAAGGACGAAGGGCGGGGGCGCGGGCCGCCAGCGCGCACGGCGTGACGGGCCTGGTCGTCCCGCGCGCACAGCCCGTCGGGACTTGGAGTCCGCGGCGCCGCCGGTGCTGGCGCTCGCCGCGGCGGCCGGACTACAGCCCCCGGCGGGCGCCGCGCGGCCGGAGCTAGGCATGCCGGGCCTCGTAGTCCGGGCGGGGAGGGGGGGGGCGGGGCCTCTCGGACTGCCCGCCGGGAGGGTGGGCAGCGGGCGGCCGAGCCGGGGCTCGGTTCCCGGCCGACGCGAGGAGGCGTGGCAGCCCCCGCGGGCCCGCGGAGACGTGGGCGGGCCCTGCCGGCCGCGCTCGCGGACGCTGACATTGGCGTGAGTGGCCGCGGCCTGCCAGCAAGGGGCCTCTGGCGGGGTCGGGACCCCGCGACCTGTGGGGGCCCCGGCCCCGCCGCTGCGGACTCTGCCGCTCCGCCCGGTCCCGCGGCCCCCAGGCCCCTGCCCCGAACCCTGGAGCTCCGGATCCGGAGCCCCGGACCCCTGCCCCGGGAGGTGCCCGCCCGCCTCCCGCTCCACCCAGTTGCCAGCTGCTGTCTGGGAGCTGACCAAGGAGGCTGCGCCCGGGTCCTCTTTGGGGGACCCAGCACCTCCTAGCAGCCCCGTTTCGCTCGAGCAGCCAGCCCTGGCTCTGGCCCGTGCCTGCTGGAGGCTTCCCCGGCCTCACTAGCTGAGGCCCAGCAGCCTGCACTGCCCCCTCTCCAAGGACCTCACCAAGGCCCGAGTCTGCTGGTGCCTGCCGGCCGTGCCCGCTGGCGTGCCCGAGTAGGGTCCTGGAGAGAGGTACGAGCCTCGGGCCCAGCACCCAAGCCTGCCGTGCCGCCTGCTCTGCGCATGGCTCTCCAGGAAGCGGGGACAGGCCCGCTGACCGTGGAGGGCCGCCTCCCGGTGTATTCAGCGTATCCCCCACTCCCCTGCTCTTGGTCACTTGAGTCTTGGGCTTGGGGACTGTGCCCTCCAGGGAGGAGGGGAGGCCTGGCCCTGCCGGTTCTGAGCACCTGTCTCGTGCCCCATGGGCTCCCAAGGAGCTGTGCTTAGGCAGTTGTGGCCGGTGTCAGTTGGGTTGTGGCCGCCTTGGCCCACGGCCTGCTGTCCCCAGAGCCGTCTCTGACCGAGTGCTGTCCCCGAGCGTGACCACCGCCTTGGGTTTCTGCCTTCTTGGCCTCGGGTTTCTGCCTCTCCCTGTCGGGTGCAGAGCAGTGAGCTGTCCTGCGCCCTTCTGCAGCGCCAAGCATGTAGCTCCCCTTGGGCATCAGGGCCTGAAGCCAGTCCCACAAGCAACCCTCCTCCAGATGGAGGGCACCACTCCACGCTCTCCCGACTCACCCCCGGAGACGGGCTCAGGCAATGGAGGCGGTGGGCCTCCTGGAAGCACCCCAGGGCGCAGGGCGTCCCCCAGCCCTTGCTAGTGGCCCACCCGGGCCATCACTGCCCACCAGCCGGGCCCTCCATATGCTCTCAGTGTCCCACTTTGGGTCACTTTCTAGATCCCAGCTTGGAGTGGAGCCGTCCCCACCCACTGCTGATGGCGAAGTGGCCCTGGGCAGGACGCCCCGTCTCCCCTGGGGCTGGTGGGCGGGGCCGCTGGGCTCGGGCATCTCCGTGCTTCCCTGTCCTGTGGGGCCCGAGGGCCTGCGGACAGGCCTCCGGACTGGTGAGGGAAGCCGCCATCTCTTCCACCCGCTCTGAGCCCACCCCATGGTGTCCCTGCAGGCGGCTCGCTGACCAAGCTGGCCTACTACTCCACGGTGCAGCACAAAGTCGCCAAAGTGCGGTCCTTCGACCACACGGGCAAGGTGAGTCTGGGCAGCACGGCGTGGGCGGCGGGGCGTGCTGGCCTGACCCTCGCGTTGGCTGGCCTGGTGTGCCCCTCGATTCCCGGGAGGTCGGTGCGTGCTGCCTCCTGGCCGTCAGCCCCCCCAGACCCGCAGGAGACCCGCCACCCACTGAGATGAGCGCGGGCCCGGGAGCGGCACGTCACGCTGCTGCAGGGTGGGCGCTTGGACCTGCGCCAAGTCGGCGCTCCCCTCCGGCACACCCAGACCCCAGTCTCTCCCAGGACGCCGAGCAGGACCACGAGCCGCCCTACGAGATCTCGGTCCAGGAGGAGGTCACGGCCCGCCTACACTTCGTCAAGTTCGAGAACACCTACATCGAGGCCTGCCTGGACTTCATCAAAGACCACCTGGTGAACACCGAGACCAAGGTCATCCAGGCCACCGGAGGCGGGGCCTACAAGTTCAAGGACCTCATTGAAGAGAAGCTGCGACTGAGGTGAGTGGGGCCGCCCCCCAACCCCGAGAGGACCCGGGTGGGCCGCGTGGGGAGCACACGATGGGGAGAACCCACGGGCGTTCGTGTCCTGCTCTGCCTGAGGCACCCCTGGGAGGCCGGCGGGGGCTTGGGGGCGTCCTCTGCCCTGGGGCCTGCCGGTCTCAGGCGCTGGCTGAGTGTGCGGTGCGGCGGAGCGAGTCTGCCGGGGCCAGGCCAGTCTGGGGGGCAGGCCCTTCCTGGACCCCACTCTTGTCAGCGCCTCCCTGCAGGGTGGACAGGGAGGACGTGATGACCTGCCTCATCAAAGGCTGCAACTTTGTGCTGAAGAACATCCCCCAGGAGGCCTTCGTGTATCAGAAAGACTCAGACCCTGAGTTCCGATTTCAGACAAACCACCCCAACATCTTCCCCTATCTGCTTGTCAACATCGGTTCCGGAGTCTCCATCGTGAAGGTGAGGCTGGCGCCCCGGGCAGGCGGGTGAGGGGCACCGTCCAGCACCGGGACAGGGACTGGCAGCGGCTGGGCTCCTTCCAGCGTCAGCACCCGCCATGCACCCTAATGCAGCCCCCGGGACTCAGCCTCCGCTCTGGCTGCTCCCAAGTCACTGCACCCCTGGGGACCCGTTGGGCAGAGCTCCTTGTCCCACCCCAGGTGGAGAGCGAGGACAGGTTCGAGTGGATCGGAGGCAGCTCCATTGGCGGCGGCACTTTCTGGGGCCTTGGGGCTCTGCTCACCAAAACCAAGGTACTCGGGCTGCTGGCGGGTGCTTGGGTTCTCGGGGCACCCCCTTGGCAGGCCCTCTGGTGGGGTACAGGTGCTGAGGCTGGCCCTGTGGCAGCTGCTGCCTGGGGCTCCAGACCTGGGGCATCCCACGGCCAGAGCCGCTCCCCGACTTGGGGCGCCCGGGCCCCCTCTCGTCCCCACAGAAGTTCGACGAGCTGCTGCACCTGGCCTCCAGGGGTCAGCATGCCAACGTGGACATGCTGGTCCAGGACGTGTACGGCGGGGCCCACCAAACATTGGGGCTCAGCGGTGACCTCATCGCGAGCAGCTTCGGGAAGTCAGCCACTGCTGACAGAGGTGCGGGCCCGTCCGGGGCGCGGGGGCTTGGGTGGTGGCTGGTGCTGGCTGCCCCCCATACCGGTGCGTGCTGGGGAGAGCAGGGGCTGCTTCAGCCTCACTCTGGCCCATGCCGGAAAGACCCTCCCCAGCCCCGAGAGCCCTAGGGCATGTGCTGCTGTCCCGGGCTCCGCCCCGCCTCATCCCCAATCCCTGCCCTGTCGCGCTCGCCTCCTAGCACCCCTCCCCCTCCCCAGAGTTCTCCAAGGAGGACATGGCCAAGAGCCTGCTGCACATGATCAGCAACGACATCGGCCAGCTGGCCTGCCTGCACGCCCGGCTGCACGGCCTGGGCCGCGTGTACTTCGGCGGCTTCTTCATCCGGGGCCACCCCACCACCATGCGCACCATCTCCTACAGCATCAACTACTTCTCCAAGGTAGCGGCCCCGCCCGCCCCCACGCGCGCCCCCCAGCCCGAGCTGGCGTGCTGCCAGGGAGGGCCCTGCGGGCAGGTCTGCCCTGTCCTCCAGCTCCCACGCTGGGGCTCCGCGGGCGCTCCCCACGGGCCTGAGCTCGCAGAAGTGGGTGGGCCCGTCTCTGGACGTCGCCCTCGGGCGTCTGCGGGCCACTAGCTCTCACGTTCTGCATTAATACGGTTCTGCCCACAAGCACTTTGGGGGTGGCCAGGAGGCCTTGGCCCCATCAGGGGCTAACGGAGGGGCTGGGGGCGCCGAGGGCCTGGCCACACTGAGGGCGGCCGTCAGCTGGTCTCGCCCTGCAGGGGGAGGTTCAGGCGCTGTTCCTGCGGCACGAAGGCTATCTGGGGGCCATCGGAGCTTTTCTGAAGGGAGCCGAGCAAGACAGTGAGTTGGGGGGCAGGGCTGCGGGCGCCAGGAGCGGGGAGGTGGGGAGCCGGGCGGGGCAGCCGGGGCGGTCCAGGCAGGAGTGGGTGTGGCGGCTCCACGGTGCAGGCCAGGCCCACCCTTTGCCGAAGCTCCCCCAAGGGCCTGGGGACACTGCCTCTGGGTGGGCAGCGGGATCCCCAAGGGACCTGGGGCTCAGCGGGTGGGCGCAGAGCACTGGCTGCGCCCCGACCCCTCACCCCTTGGACGGCCCCGAGCGGCCTCTCCCTGTGGATGCGCCCTGGCCCTCGCCAGGCACGTGGCTGCGCCAGCCTGGGCGCCTGCCCCCTGATCTTAGTCCTTCTCAGCGAGGTAAGCTGGAGGGGCCAGGGCGCTCAGAGGGCCCCGGGGTCAGGCCTCCCGAGCAGCAGCCCCAGGTAACGCCGCCCTCTGCCCCAGACCCCAACCAGTACAGCTGGGGCGAGAACTACGCCGGCAGCTCCGGGCTGATGAGCGCGGCCCCCGACCTGGGCCCGGCGCGGCGGGCGCGCAGCGGCACGGTGAGCGTGGGTCTGGCTGGGAGCCTCTGCGGGGTCCCCGGGCCCGGGTCCATCCTCCGGGCGGGCGCGAGTCAGGCGGACCCGAGCAGGGCAGCGGCTCCTCCGTGCTCCTGCTCCCCTTGGTCCCTCCGTGTTTTCCAAACATTGGCCCAGCTTGGGGCCACGCGCACCCACCCCGCCCCCGCCTGCGGCACCCGCACCACCACACAATGCGGGGGGACCCCAAGCACCAGCAGGGTCGCCCAGTGCAGAGGCGCCGTCCCGGGGTCGGGTGCAGTGGTGGTGGTGAGGGGCGGAGGAGTCTGAACACCAAGGGCCCGGCCCGTGTGCCCCAGGCCTGCTCTTCCCAGCACAAGACGCGGGGCTGCGGCGGGGGCGAGGGGGGTCTGACGCGCCCTTTTGATGCAGGTCTTGGCACTGGGCCTGGTCCCTGGTGTGCCCCCTCCCCTGGTGGCCCCTGGCTGTGAGCCTGGGCAGTGCTGCAGAGCCTGGGGGGCAGGAGGGTGGCCAGAGCCGTGGAGTCTCACCCCCAAGAGGCCCAGGGCCTGAGCAACCAGGAAACCAGTCTGGGGGCTCTGGAGCCAGGGGAGGGGCAGTGGCAGGAAGGTGGGGGTGGGGGAAGGCAGGAGCGGCTGACCGGGAGGGACCTGCAGATGGGCTGGCCCGGGGACAGCAGATTGGGACCCCGCGAGTGAATCCCCCTCCCGCCAAGTCGACAGATGGCAGGCGCGGCCCCCGGCCCGGCGAGGCTGAGGCCCGGGCGGCTCTGGTCTCGAGCCGCCTCTCACGTCCTCCGGCTTCTCCCAGTTCGACTTGCTGGAGATGGACCGACTGGAGAGGCCGCTGGTCTCGCTGCCGCTCCTCCGGGACCCGTCCTCCTACGTGCCCGACACCGTGGACCTGACCGACGACGCCCCGGCACGCCAGTACTGGCTGACCTGCTTCGAGGAGGCCCTAGATGGGGTGAGGCTGAGGACGCCGCCACCTGGAGGGCAGGGACGGGGTGAGGCCGCGGCGTCTGGGCCCCGGCGGCTGCTGTGTGGAGCCCCGAGGGCACGTGGGCCGGCCACGGTCTCGCAGTTCTGGCCGGTGGGCCGAGGGGTCCCGGCCTGCCCGGCCTTGGTGCGTCCCGGGAGGGACCGAACCCCCTGCCCCGCCGCAGGCTGGTGGGGGCCCTTCATGGGTTGCCGGCCAGCAGGACGGCCGGGCCATCCCCAGCGCTCCCGGGGGCGCCCCTGCTGCAGGGGCCCCCTCTGAGCACCGGTCCCGGCAGGTCGTGAAGCGCGCGGTGGCCAGCCAGCCCGGCTCCGCGGACGCCGCCGAGCGCGCCGAGAAGTTCCGCCAGAAGTACTGGGACAAGCTGCAGACGCTGCGGCACCAGCCCTTGTAAGTTGGGGGGGCTGGGGGCGTTTTACGGGGGGCCACCCAAGGGCAAGACTGTGCCAGGACCCCCAAGGGCAGCCCTGCTCACGCCCGGCTGCTCCCTCTGGCTCTGGCTCTAGCGCGTATGGCGCCCTGACCGTGCGCAGCCTTCTGGAAACGCGGGAGCACTGCCTGAACGAGTTCAGTTTCCCGGATCCCTACTCCAAGGTGAGTGCCGCGGGGCCCCCGCCACGCCGCCTTGGCCCTGACGCTGCCGCACGGTGCCCCACACCCCGGCGCCTGGCCAGCCCCGAGGGGAAGCTGCTCCGCTTTTCACGCGCCCCAACGCAGTGTCCGGTCTCCCTCCCCCGAGCCCAGGCCCGCAGGCCGTGTCCACAGCTCCCGGCCAGCGGGCTGCCAGGCTGAGGGCGCCCCGTGCTCCCCCAGGTGAAGCAGAAGGAGAACGGCGTCGCGCTCAAGTGTTTCCAGAGGGTCGTCCGCGCCCTGGACGCGCTGGGCTGGGAGGAGCGGCAGCTGGCCCTGGTGCGGGGCCTCCTGGCGGGGAACGTCTTCGACTGGGGAGCCAAGGCCGTCTCCGAGTAGGTCCTGGCTGCACCCGGTCCCCTTCCCGCCTGGCCGCCCAGAGCTGTCCGCGCCCCCGGCGCACGGCCTCCCCCAGCCGTTCCCTGACCCCAGAGCACCTCGCCTGCCCGGCCTCGCGTGCCTGCCCTGTGCGGCCCCGGGCTCCGTTTCGGCCCCTCAGGGGCACGCGCCGAGGAGCCTCCCCCCGCGTCCCTGGCCTCGCTGGGCGATGTAGCGGGTTGTCTGGGGGAGGCCGGTGGCCGCCAGGCAGGGGTCTTCCAGCCCCGCAGCCCACATGCTGGAGGACACGCCGCTGCCCAGCTCGAGACCCGTGGGCCCGGTGCCGGGCGCGGGGGCGGCACAACGCAGGACGCTGGTCCGGTGCCAGGCGGCGCTCCGCGGCGGGGGGGCTTCTGTGACCTCCTTCCCTTGCCCTGCAGCGTCCTGGAGTCTGACCCCCAGTTTGGGTTTGAGGAGGCCAAGCAGAAGCTGCAAGGTAGGGACACCAGGCGCCGCGTCCCGTGCGGACGGCCAGCGCCCGGCCGAGTGCGGTGGGGATGCGGCGGCTGGGGTGCAGCTGCCCCCGCGGCGCAGGCCGCTGACTGCCCGTGTCCCGCAGAGCGGCCCTGGCTGGTGGACGCCTACGACGCGTGGCTGCGGAGACTGAAGGTACCGAGCGCCTGTCCTGTGCTGCCCACGTGGCGCCAGGCGCGGGGCCGGGCGGGGCCGGAGGGAGGGAAGGGCGGGGCGCCCCCCACGCCGGGGGCACCTCCGGAGGCCCCGCCCTGGGCTGACGGGCGGGCGGCCGCCTGGGCCCGTGGACCTCCGTCGGGTGCCTGGGCCGGCCTGGGGGGGCTGCCCGCCCGGCGCCCTCAGGAGCGAGCGGCGGAGCTGTCGGAGCTTGGACGCGCCTGTTCCCAACTGAACGTCCTGGTTTTGTCTTGCAGGGGCCCCCTCACAAATGTGCCTTAATTTTCGCAGATAACAGTGGAGTAGACGTCATTTTGGGAGTCTTCCCCTTTGTCAGGGAGCTTCTCTCTAGAGGGACGGAGGTGAGTGTGGAGGCCGCTCGGCGGCCCTTCCCGCCCCCCGGGCTGCCCGCTCTCGCTGAGCAGGTAGGTGTGGCCGGAGGCGCCCGGCGCGCCCTGGGGCTCGGGCCGTGGCCCTTGGGGCCCGCGGGCGGGGCGGGGCAGGGCGCGGGGCGGCCCCTGAGCAGCCTCGGGCCTCCGCAGGTGGTCCTGGCCTGCAACTCGGGCCCCGCCCTGAACGACGTGACCCACGGCGAGTCCCTGCTCGTGGCCGAGCGCATCGCGGCCATGGACCCCGTCGTCCAGTAAGCGCGGGCCGGGCCTGGCACGGCGGTGGGGGCGGGTGCTGGGTGCCCCCTCACGGGCGCCCCTTGTGCCCGGCAGCTCGGCGCTCAGCGAGGAGAGGCTGCTGCTGGTGCAGACCGGCTCCAGCTCGCCCTGCCTGGACCTCAGGTACCCGCGGCCCACCCGGGGCGGGAGCTCTGTCCTGGGGTTCGGGTCCCCGCCTGCCCCGGGGGTGTCCGCCCAGGCCGCCTGCCCCCTCTCCAGACGCCTGGCGTCCCAAGCAGAGATGTGTCATCGAGCCCTGGGATGGGGGTCCCGTGGGGGCGCTGCGGGCAGGGTTTGGCGTCCACCCCCCTCACTGCGCCCTTCCCCCCCGAAGCCGCCCTGGACGCGGGCTGGCCGCGCTGGTGCGGGAGCGCGGCGCGGACCTGGTGGTCATCGAGGGCATGGGCCGCGCCATCCACACCAACTACCACGCGGCCCTGCGCTGCGAGAGCCTCAAGCTGGCCGTGGTCAAGAACGCCTGGCTGGCCGCGCGGCTGGGCGGCCGGCTCTTCAGCGTCATCTTCAAGTACGAGGTCCCGGCCGAGTGAGGCGGCCACCGGGCGCCGAGGAGACTGGGGCCCGCGGGGCGTGCGCGGGTGTGGGCGCCGCCGTGCTGGCGCGGAATACAGTGGACTGTCACACCGCCTTCTCTGTACACGCGTGTGCACGCCCGCCCCACCCCACCCCTGCCGCCAACGCCCGCCGGGCAGCCTGGGCCTTTGGGGTCCTCCTAGATGCTTGGGCCCCCATGGCAAGGCTCCCACACCGTGAGCCCCGCCAGCCTCTCTGGGCCCCACACGGCCCTGACCAGCCATGGGCAGCTGAGGGCTGGGTGCACCCTCCTGGGCACCGCCAGGCCCTGCCTGTGGCGGGCAGCCAGGGGCTTGTGCCCAGCTCCGGGGGGCCTGCGAGGGGGCCTGCAGCGGGACTGCCCTGGGGAAAGCGGCCAGGCCACTGTGGGTGGAGCGGACAGAAAGGAGGCTGAGTGGGCTCGGGGCAGGGAGCCCCTCCCTAGGCAGACGGCTGGAGCGCCGTCCACCGTGCTCCCCCAGTTCCCTCCCTTGGACAGTCCGCACGTGCCTGGCCCTCCCTGTCCTAGGGCGCCGGGAGCCTGGACTCCCCAGGGGCTTTACTCAGCAGTCTGGGGGCTGCTGGCTCCAGGGAACGGGACCCAGGGGGCCGCGTGACCAGTCCTGCTCTGGGTGGCCCTGCCTGCACGTGGCTCTCAGCCTGACCCAAACAGCTGCTGGACCTGTGGGGTCGTGAACTGGCCCCTCGGCACCACCAGGGAATTGGGGCACCGGAGGCCTGGCCAGACCTGCCTGCTGCTGGGCGCGTGACCCGTGCCTCCACTGCCCCCGCTGGGCCCCGACAGACCGGCCCTGCCCCCGGCCTGCAGCCCCGGGCTGCGTCAGTCCCCAGGTGCCTCTGTGTGGTCTCGGCCCTTCCCTGGCCGGGGGTTGTGCGCCCCTGCCCCTGGGGTGGGCAGAGCTGGCCTGCGGCCCCAGCAGAGACGGCCAGCCCAGAACCTCCAGAGGCGCCCCCACGCCTGACCGCCCAGGCGGGCCAGTTCTTGGATGAGGGCGCTGCGCTCCCAGGCCTGGCCCAGGCGGCCCTTCCTGCTGAAGCGCTGACGGAGATGGCCCTGGAGGGGGCTCTGGGGCCGGCACCCCCCAACCGAAACACCTCTCCGGTGGGGCTCGACTCAGCCGCGGCAGCCCCTGGGCTGGGCTGGCCCTGCCTGCGTCCAGGAGCGCCGTGGCCTTGGGCCTCAGCCCCCAGCAGATGCGTGGGCCAAGTGAGGGAGGTCAGCACCCGCCCCCGTGGCCTTGGGACCCACCGACACTAACTTGGGGCTACCTGCCTGCGGCCCGCCTTCCCGGGGGGCCCGCCCCGAGGCCTGGAGCAGCCCCGCATCCTGCTTCTCCGGGAGGGCTTGGCCGGGCCGTCTGGGGGCCGGGCGGCCCGTCCAGCGGAGGCTTCTGGGGGTCAGGGACATGGCGCCGTTGGCCCCCTCAGCACTGGCCACAGAGGGGCGGGCGGGTTGCCCCACACGGAGAAGCGTGAACGAGTTTTATTGGAGCTTCACGGAGCAGAAGGCCCCGCGCGGGGCGGGCTGGGTGGTGGGCGGGGAGGGGCGGCGGCCGGGGTGCCCAGCTCAGCGCACGCCGCGCGGCTCCGGGTCGTTGGGGTCTTGGGGCCCCTCGTGGCCCAGCTTTGTCCAGAACCCGCAGCCTCTCTGGGGGCGCTGGCCTGGGGGCTCCCGGGACGGCGGGACCAGCACCCACGTCGGGGAGCGCGGCCTCGCGCACGTCAGAGTCGGAGCAGGAGGCCCGCGGCCGCGGCCCCCTCGGAGGCTGGCGTGTCCCCGCAGCCCCCCTGGCCCACGGAGCACGCGCCCTCGGGGGTGCCCCGCTCCTCCCGCGGGGGCCCCTGCAGACGCTGGTGCCGCTCCTGGGCCCGGCGGGCGCGGCTGGCGATGGCGCGCGTGCGGCTCTGGCTGCGGGAGGAGGCGCGCCGCAGGAACCCGCCCGCGCCCCCCTCCCCGGCGGGGCCCAGGCTGGTGGGCGACGTGATGTCCCCCTCCTGCTGGAAGCCCGTGAGCCAGCGCAGCTGCTCTGTCAGGGCGTCCCGCCCGGCCCCCGGCCCCCCGGCCCCTCCCCGTGGGGGGCGCCCAGGCGGCGGCCCAGACGCAGGCCCAGGCTCTCCGCTTGAGGGGCGAAGTCCTCCGCGGTCAGGTCCCCCAGGCTCTTGGACTTGGCCGCCGCTGGGCAGTTCCGGAGGCCTGCCAGGGGGAGGTGGCCCCACGGCGGCCTGGGGTTCAGCCTCGGCTCGCCGGGGCCCGCAGGCGGCTGGCCCGCGGCCCGCAGGTTGGGGTTGGATTTGCTCTTGGCCACAGCGGGCGGGTCCAGGCGGGGGGCCGAGGCCGAGCAGGGCCGCAGGGGCAGGCGTCCAGCAGGGGCCCCCGTCAGGCTCTCGCGGCGCAAGCCTGGCAGGGAGAGGTCGATGACCGTGTCGCTGGAGGACATGCTGGAGGAGGAGGACACGCTGTCCCGGTGGCTGCTGGGCTCCAGCCGCTGCCAGAGCCGGTCCCAGCCCGTGGCGTCTGAGTGCAGGGCCACGCAGGGCCCGGCTGGGGGCCACCGGCCCCCAAGGGGCTCCATGGGCACCTGTCCCTCGCTCTTGGCCCTTCTGACCTCAGGCGGGTGGCCCAAGGCCCGGGCGTGGCCTCTGCTGTCCGGCTGGCTGCCCGAGGCGCCCTCCAGTGCCCCACCAGGGTCCCCACCATCGTGTGCCCCCTGCCTGCCGCCAGGGGCCTGCGGGGGAACCCCAGCACTCCCGGACCCAAGCCGGAGGGGCACGGAAGCCCCCAGAGCCTCCCTCGGGGGGCTTGTCGCTTTGGCATCAGGTCCTGGGGGCCCACCGGGGGCAGCCACCAGCGCGGGGGGCCCTGCTCCCAGGGCGGGCTCCTCGGCGATGGTCTCCAGGCCACACAGGGAGGAGACGGGCCTCTGCGCGGAGAAGGGGCGGGTGCCTGTGTGCGGCGGAGGGCGTGTCGGGGCGTTCCTGGGCCTGTGCCCACAGCACCCGCGACCAGACCCCCACGCGCCCACCTGACGCAGGCACTCGGGGCGCCCCCGCCCTCAGGCGCTGTCGCCCTGGGCCTGCGGGGGCCGGCCCGTTACCTGGCACTCCGCGCTCTCAGTTCCTAACTACGCACGCGGCGTGGGGTGCACAGGACAGAAAGAACACGGGGTCAGGTGTGGGGGCTGGGCCAACAGACCGAGGGGGGCAGGCGAGGGCCGCCGAGCTTCCAGCCCTCCCCCCGGGGCGGGGGTCCCGCTGACTCAGGCCCGCTTGCCCCCGGATGAGCCAGGGAGCGCCCCCTGGGCAGGCCGTGAAGAACTCCCCAGGCCAGGGGCGTGGGGGCCTAGAAACTGAGGCCCCCATGGACTTGAGGCGCCCTTGGGTGAGCCCCCCGCCTCCCACCTTCCCGGGATGGCAGTGCGGACCAGGGCCCCGGGGCGGGGTGGAGGCTGGAGCAGCCCTCGCTCGGGGCAGTGGAGCAGGGGGTCCACGGGAAGGAGGCCCCGCGGGCACAGGGGCCGTGTCCGGAGGCCACATGGGGGTGCAGCTCAGCAAGCACTGGGGCTCCGGGGCCACGCTTCCCCGGGCCCACCCAGGGGGGCTCCAGGACGACCTCGCCTCCCCAGCCCCCTGCCGGCAAGGTGCCCAGGCCTCCCCCAGCGGGTGGCAGCGGGGGCTGGAGCAAGACACGGAGCCGCGGAGAAGCAGGCGGGCGCGCGCAGAAGCCGGCGGCCGGGCCATGCCGGGGGCAGGGGTGCCACGGGGCGCGGGCGGCTCTGGCTTACCCGAGGGGAACATGGGGGATTTACTCCTCATCTCCTCCAGCTTTTGAACGAACAGGGCGTTCATCTCCCTCTGCAGTGCCCCCGGCTGCCTGTGGGCGCCCTCGGGCCAGCGAGGGGCCCCCTCGGGGCTGCCTGGGCTGCTGGAGTCCGAGGACACGGAGCCGCTGCCGCCCGGGCCCTGCCGCCGAGCCCTGGGGCCCGTCGGGGCCCCCAGCTTTTCCCCACAGTGGCTCCGGGGGCCCCTGGCGAGTGGGCCCGGGCCGGGGCTGCTGGCTGACGGCCCCGCGCCCGCCTGCCTGCCCCGGGCCGGGCGGCCACTCCCTCCGCAGGCCCTCGGCGTCCTCGCCGGCACAGGAGCCCACCACGCACTTCATGCAGGCGGCGGCCACGCCGGCGGGCCCGGGGCCTTCGGGCGCACGCGGGGGCCGCACCTGCACGGGGCTCCGCTCCGCGGCCTTACCTCGGGGGCTGCCGCTGCGGGGCTCCTCCGGGGCCAGGGCCTCCGGAGCGGGGCTGGGGCTGCCCGGGGCCGTGCCAGGCGCCTCCCCCGCGGAGCCCACGTCCTGCAAGCCCAGGACCAGCTCCGGAAAGGCCTTGCGGCCTGGCTTGTGGCTCTTGGCGGGGGCGCTGGCCGTGCGCCGCAGGAGCCGCTGGCTAACGGAGGGCCGGGGCGGGGGCCGCCCAGCAGCATGACTGTCCAGGGAGCCGGGCTTTGGGCCGCGGAGGAGCAGGCCCTTTAGGCCCAGTGCCTGCTTGACCTGCAAGAGAAGGACGCCACGTAGCGGGCGGCGGACGCGGGGCGGGGCCTGGCTGTGCCCCCGACGCCAGCTCCGTGTCGCTTCCCGAGGCTGAGCGGGGAGGGGTGTCCAGGACGCCTCCGGGCAGTGGCTCCTCTGCCCTGGTGAGGCCTGGGAACCCACCCGCCTGCACCGGGGTGCTGTGGGCACGGGGAGGGTCTGCAGGTCTCAGGCGGGCCAGCGAGGGCAGGCGGAGGATGCCCGGGCCCCTGACCCGCCACACCGCAGCCCCAAGCCCCAAGGCCGACTCGGGTAGGCCATGCTGGCAGGAGAGAGACAGCGGGACCCGGTCAGAGCAGGCGCCACTGCCGCACCCCACCCAGGCACGCAGCCGAGGAAGCTGCTGGCTGTGCGCTCCGTGGCCCTGCCAGAGCCCACCTCTGCAGGCTGCCTCTTCCAGGAAGCCTTCCCAGACCTGCCAGGCAGCCTCTTCCAGCCTGGCCCTGCTCTGCTCATGGAGCCCTGACCACAGCCCAGACAGCAGCTGCCCGGGGCAGGGACTCTGGACCGCCCATGCCCGGGGCGGGCCTCCTGACTGCCAGGCCTCGCCTCACCCACGGCAGGCAGCTGGGTCACACCCAAGAGGCCAGAAGGTCCCCACATGCAGGGACCCCAACAACAGCCCAGCTCCCCACCCTCACCGGGACGCTCTGGGCAGCGGTGAGAGTGGCTGGCACTTGAATCAGCTTCCCGATTCAAGACCCCAAGGGCAGAGCGGTTTGGTCAAATGAGACTCATTTAGAAGAAGGTCCGGGATTCGGCCTCCAGCCCAGGCCCCGGGTGTGGTGGCCGCAGGCGGGGGGGCCTGGGGAGAGCTGGCAGAGCGCCCAGCGGGGCACGGGGCTCGCCGAGTCTGGGACCTGCTTCATAAATGGGCGACGCCCGCGATGGCCCGGGACCCAGACGCGCACCCGTCCCGCGAGCGGCAGCTCCCGGCCGGGCTCGGCGCTGGGGCGGCGCATGCAGCGGGCCGCCCCGGCCGGGTACCTCGCGCTCCTAACGGGTCTGCGCTTGTAAAGGCTTTGGACATAGAGAAGCCACTGCAAGACCAAAGAGACAGAGACGGCCGTGAGACGCCACAGCGGCGCCGAGACAGCGGACGCAGGACAAACGGGGACGGAGACGGCCCCGCGGCACCGCCGCGGGCAGGAGCAGGAGGCGCCGCGGCCGACGAGGCTGAGACCCGGCGGGGAGCAGAGCCGGGCGGCGCGGCGCAGGAGCCTGGAGGGCGGGCGGTGGGCGCGGCCCAGGCGGTCAGGGCGGCAGACGCACCAGGCGCCCGGCACCCGCGGGGAGAGCGCCGGCCGCGCAGACGCTCACCTTACCGCTGACGTCGCTGACGGCCACGTGGACGAAGACGGACGCCTCTTCCACGCCCTCCAGGTACACGTGCCGGTAGCCTGCAAGCCAGGGGCTCAGCCGCCGGCCCGCCAGGCCCCGCCCGCGCCGGCCCTCGACCCCGGGCCCACCCTGCTCTGGGCGCTCGCGGGCAGTGCTGACCCCGGGGGGAGGGGCGGGGAGGGGCGGGGAGGGCCCGCCCGGCTGCCCACCTGGCAGCAAGCTGCTGAAGGCCAGCGTTCTCTGGCCGATGAAGTCCCGCCCGATGGGGTCGTGGTCCCAGACCAGGAAGCGCACCAGCGCGATCTCGGGCATGTGCACGGTGAACACCAGCGTCTCCTCCCACATGGGGTTGAAGCCTGGGGGCCAGCAGGAGGGGGTCAGCCTGAGGCGGCGTGGGCCCCGCCCAGTCAGGGTGAGCAGCGCCGGGGACCGGGCAGCTCTCCTGGCTTCGCCAGGGGCAGCTAGGAGCAGCCTGGCCGCGGGGAGGGGTCACCTGGCCCCTTCCTTCCCGGCCGCCCAGCACTGGGCCAGGAGCGGGGTGGCCGGGGGACAGCCCTCACCGTTGTCGTCCACCACGCGGGTCTGCTCCTTGCTGCAGTCCACGGGGAGCCCGATGACCTCCACCTCCACGAAGGGGTCAATGATCTGGTGGGGGGGCGGTCAGGGCCGGTGGGCATTGGGCCCCACCCCCGTGGCATGCCCCTGCCTCCAATCCGCCTCCAGCTCTGAGCCCGGGTCGCGCCTACCTCCCCTCGGTCCCCCAGCACTGAGGCCCGGGGCTTGGGGAGCTGTTGCCCGCTGATGATACGCAGCACCAGCTGCTTCTTGAGCTGCCCGGGCAGGGGGTCCTCGGAGTTGGGGTTGAAGATTCCTGGGGACAGTGAGCGAGGCTGAGGGGCCTGGACCGCACTGCCGGTGCCTCAGGCCAGGAAGAGGGCAGGGGGCCTGATGCCTGGCCACGTGACCACTGGTGACGCCCGTCCCTGTCCCTGGGTGGGCCAAGCCGCCTCCCCAGGGGCTGGAGCCTGGCGCGGGGCACGGTCAGCAGCCCCGGAGCCCAGCGGGAGGCAACCAGGGGCTGCCCAGGGCGGGCGCAGGTCACGCCGCGGCCGGCCCGAGGTGTGGGCGGAGGGTTCCGAGACGGGCATTCTCAGCCCCTCCCAGCTTGTGGGAGAGCGAGGCCTGAGAAGAGGCTCCTCTACGGCCAGGGGACGGCCAGGACAGGGCAGGCGCCCATCAGCCCCGGGACTCGGCGGGCTGGGGTCTGCCGCGCCCGCTGCCCGCCCCGGCTCGGGCCCAGCCTCACCCCGGCACATGCAGTCCGGCTTGAGCACGTAGCCGCAGCCGCCGTTGGCGCTGAACTTGGCCCGGTTCAGCTGCAGCACGCGCCCTCCGACTGGTAGTTCAGGGCCACTGCGGGGAGGGCGCGGTCAGGGCGCGCGTCAGGCGGGGCCCGCAGCCCGCGCCCCCGAGCCGGACGCACCCATCTGGCAGCCGGCGTTCCAGAAGGGCTGCGGGTCGTAGTTGCTGGAGTCGACGCGGTAGGAGGAGGGGTAGATGCGGGACAGCTGGCGCTGGTTGAAGCGCAGGTACTGCTCCGGCTTCTGCTGCAGGACCTGCTGGGCCTGAGTCTCGCTGAAGGACGACACCTGCCAGCTGGAGGCCGCTGGGGACGGGTGGGCCCGTCAGACACGCCCGCCGCACCCTCCCCGGCCCCTGCCCCGCCCCCCGCGCCCGGACGGCCCTCACCCTCCGAGTCCACGTCGTGGGCGCCCACGGACTTGGTGTACTTGACCAGGTCAGAGAGGGCCCGTGCCAGCTGCACCGTCTTCCTCTGCCTGGCCGCCCTGCAGAGGGCGGGGTCAGGGCCGGGCCGGCGCCCCGGGGGCTCAGGGACGTGCACCCTTGTCAGCAGGCATCTGCCGCCCCGTCTGGGTCAAGGAGCGCCGCGCACGCCAGGCCCCGGGCCCACGGGAGGGGCGGGGCCGGCCGCCACAGGGCCCAGGCAGCCTCGGTCCGAGAGCGAGACCCCAGGGCCGCCAGCCCCGAGCCACCCCTGCCCCGACCGGCCTTCCACCCCACGTCTCCCAGGGCGTGGCGGGCGGGCACTGACCCCCGGCTCTGGGCGTCCGGGCCCTCGTCCCCCTCCTCCACGCTGGCCGCCTTCTTCAGCTTGCTGCTTTTTTTCTGTGCAGGGAGAGATGAGAGTCGGGACCTGGAGCCACAGGCCCGGCCCAGCTGCAGAGGCGGGCGGGGTGTCCTGGGGGCCACACCGCCAGCCAGGGCCTGCGTGTCCTCTGCCCTTGGCCCCGGGGACCTGAGCTGGGGCACCGTCCAGCGTGGGCCCAGGCGGGGCAGGTGCCCTCACACAGCCCCAGCGGGACGACGGGCGGCACCTCCTCGGGGAGGCTGGCTGGGACCTGGGGAGGGAGGAGGCCCCACCTCTGGCTGGCGCGGGGGGCCTTGGGGCGCCCAGCCCAGGAGCCACGGACCTTGCGCTTGGAGAAGCCGCCCACGCGCCGCCAGCCGTCGCGCTTGCCGGCCCCCTGCTCCCGCCCGCACTCGGGGTCCTCCTCGGCCTGGCGGAGGGTGAAACAGAGCGGTGAGCCCAGCCCCGGGCTAGGGCCACCGGGTGGGCCCTGCAGCTCTCCCAGCGGCCCAGGAGGCCTTCCTGGAAGCGGCGGGGCTGAGCGACCTGTGGGAAGGTGGGGAGCGCAGGGGAGCAGGGGCTTCCGGGCAGAGTCTCCTGCTGTGGCTGGCGCTGCGAAGTAGTCGCGTCCCCAGCCCTGAGCCCCCCGCCCCGTGGACACAGCGGCCATCGCCTGCCTGGACATCCCCGGCCGGGCCTGCTAACGTAGCCTTGCTGTCCTGCACATCCTGTCCTGTGCGTGTGGGCTCCTGTGCCCGACGCCCAGCTGCCCGGTCTCCCGCCCCTGCGCACACTGCAGTGCCCCCATCGCCCCTGCCCTTCGCTCATGCCAAGCTCTGCTCAGGACCACGGAGCCCATCCCACGACTGCCTGGGGCCACGGGGGCCTGTCGGCTGCAGGAGGACCAGCGGGGAGGCCACTGCCTCGCACAGCCCCTCCCCAGGAACCTTCTTTGGGCGCCCGACCCCAGGGGTCACCCCTACATGCAGCCACTGAGGGCCTGGTGCTGCCCAGCCTGGGAGAGGGGCACTTCCTGGCCACCCTGCCATCTCTGCCCTCCCCAGCAGCAAGGTCCATGCAGGGGACACAGCCCCTCCTGCCCAGCCCACTCGCCTGTGGGCCAGCGTCTGCAGGTCAACAGGCAGCTCCTGGCCCAGCTGCCCCGCCCACCGTCTTCCCTGCAGGACGCCACCCCCAGCCCTGGGGGGGCAGATGCCCGGCCACTGGCCACCCCATGATGCCTGTAGGGTGCGTGCAGGTGTGTGCAGGCGCGGGGTGTGCGGGTGCACGCAGGTGCGCGGGGGCACGGGGGCAGGTGTGCGCACGCTGCGCTCTGCCCTCGCCTGGCCGGGCGCTCACCTTCTTGCACTCCACCCTGGGCCTGAGCCTGCCCGCCCGGGAGAGCGAGGACATGGCGAAGTCACTGGGGTCCTCGCAGTCCCGGATCTTGGACTCCTTGATGAGCGAGTCCAGCCTCTTCTTGGCGATGTTCTCCACGCGCTTCTGGTTGGCAGAGGCCTGCGGGAGCCGGGCGGCCGTCACTGGCCTCCCGCCCTGGTGCTGGGCTCACCTCTGGGCCTCCCCTCACCTGGCGTGCACCCCACCCCAGGCTGCCCGCCCGCGCTGTCCGGTGCACAGCAGCCGTCTCCACCTGCGCCGCAGCGCCCCGAGCCTGCAGACACCGCGGGGCCGACGCCGTGGGCCAGGGGCGCAGCCGAGCAGACCCGTGGGCTCTGAGGCACGAGCCATTCGGGTCTGGGGCAGGTGACTGCGGCCCTAGGGCTGCCCAGACCACCATGAACCCCTTGAGGGCAGGGCCCGGCCCTGGGCAGGGCAGCAGGTCCAGTCGGCGCCAGCCAGCCAGCCACGGACGGCGTCCCTGGCCAGACAGAAGTGGGGGAAGCGCCCCCTGCCTCGGGGCTTCCAGGAAACAACCAGCAGCTACCCTGGGATGTTCCCGCACCATGATGGCCCCCCAGATGCCCCCCCGCTGCAGCCCGGAGCCCCAGAGGAGAGGAGTTGTGGGGTCCAGAGTCCCCCAGACACCAATGAAGCCTTCCTGGGCTCAACCTCCCACCAGCCTCAACTGCCTTCCACCTGGGGCAGACGCCAGACACACCACTACTTGGGGGGCCAGCGCCAGGTTTGGGGTGCCAGGAGGGTGACTGGCAGCCCAGGGCAGAGCTGGGTGGACCAGACAGAGGCCAGGAAGTGGGAGTTCCGGGTCAGAGCTCAGGCAGGCCCAGTGCAAGGGGATCGGTGAGGCCCCGAGCAAGCACCTCCCCAGGGCCCCCTCACTGAGGGGGCTGGAGGGCTGATGAGCTGAGCAGTCAGCACCCCGAGAGCTGGTTCAGAAGTGGGAGCTGACAGAGGGCAGCAGGGGCACAGCCTGCCCCGGGGGACGCGGGTGCGTGGGGGGCGGGGGCCCCACTCACGTCCCCATGGAGGAGCTTGCAGTCCTCGTCAATCTCATCCGCGCTGTCCTCGTCGGACACCTCCCCGGCCTCCGCGTCCTCGCTGATGTTGGCCGGCAGCTTCTTACCCTGTGGGGGGGACGGATGTGGGGAGCCCACAGGAGGGGGGGCAGCTACCCACAGGAGTGGCAGCGGCGGGGTGGGCTAGCCGATGCTTCCACCAGCAGCACCTGGGAGGGTAACGCCTGGGGGTCCAGGCGGGACCCCAGATTGAGTGATCACTCTGGAGAGACTGAGGCCAGGTCAGGCCTCCCCTGACCCCCCCAAATCTCCTCCAGCTTGTTTGAAGCAGCCCCGCCACGCTGGACTGGTCAGAGGCCCGGCGAGGGTGCTGGCCTTGGACGGGCAGGCAGAGGCTCACCTTCACCAGGATCTTGCCCTTGAGCATGTGCGGAGAGGGCAGCGTGGCAGCGTCCTCGCCACTCACTGAGGACAGGTCCAGCTTGTCCCCGAGGATGTCCGTCAGGTACTGGGCCATCTTCTTCTGCTGGACAACACTGCAGTGGTTCTCGATGGACAGGATCACAGGGTACCTGGCCCCGAGGTGGGAGAGCGGGGTGAGGCCCCACCCTACAGGCGCCCGTGTCACCCGACCACAGAGAGGGGAGTCTTCACCAGAAGGCCGGGAGAGAGGACGGCCACTCACTCCGGGAGGGCCCACCAGGCACTGAGCGGGCGGGAGCAGAGCTGGGTCAAAGATGCATAAAGAAGGCACAGTGTGCCCAGTAAGAAAAAACCAAGGCTATCAGTAACTCTGGGGAAACAAAAGGAAACGTTTGAGAAAGCCGTGTTTTAAAAATGATGCAGGCGGGCCTCCCTGGGGGCGCAGGGGTTAGTCTCAGCGTTGTGAAGCTGTCCGCAGCCGCTGCAGCACAAGTTCCGTCCCCGGCAGGCCAGGGAGCTACCCCCATGGCGCAGCAGACCTCTCCTGTCCCCCCGCTGCTCCCCTCAGCAGTGGATTTCAGTCAGTCTGCCTGTTCTGCTCCCCACTCTGTCTCTGGTGACTCCTCTCACCCCCCGCACCTCTGGCCTGTCCCCCAGCTCTCGTGTGCATCAATAAATAAATCTTAAAAATAAAAGTGACGCAGGTTAGTGTGGAGTGGTGTAAGAAAAAGAATCGCACTGACCTAGATGTCAGAGACATTGTCCTGTGGGTGGCCCTGGGGCCCTGACACTGGCCCCGTCAAGAAGAGACGTGAGCCTGGCACACGCCATCTGGCAGGACGTTGTTGTTACACGCACGAGGTATCAGGGGGTGCAACATCCAGCTTTGCATTAGAAGCTCTTCAGTTGTTTGATTTTTTTTTAACTACGTGCACAAAGGCAAATGCGGTCCTTTCAGAAAATGTAGGTGACCGAGACCTACCAGGCGCGAGACTGGCAAGTCCCGTGACGTGACGAGGGCAAACGGGGCTGGGAGGAGGCGCTCCTCTCCCGTTTCTCAGGCCCGAAGCCCTGGCCCAGGAGGAGAGCCCCGCGCCCGCAGAGATGCCCCGGCGTGGGGGTGGGAGCCCCGTCCCGAGACCCAGCAGACCTCGGGCTCCTGCGCAGCCCCGGGAGGCCTGCGTGTCGGCCCCTCCCCCCAGGGCCCCGCGTCGAAAATCCCAGGGGCCAGGCTGTCCCGCAAAGACCCCTCTTGGTCACCCTTCCTGGCCCCTGAGACAGCCGGGCCCGCTGCCCAGGAGAGGGCTGCCTCCGCCTCGTGAATCGTCTCGCCCCCTCCCTCCCCCATTCAGTCAACTCCTTTCCCGCCCGCAGGCCCGGCCCTCGCTCGGCCAAGACTCGAAGGAAACTGTCCCAGCCGGGGACGCCGCGAGGCGGGCTTCTATTTCCGGAAACCAAATTGGATTTTGTTCAACTGCAGCCACAGCTGAGTGACACTCAATTAAGTCTGGACGCAGAGTAGCTTCTTGGGGGTACTTAGCGCAGGAGCCGCTGCTGTCGGGGGCGCCCTGGACGGCCCACCAGGCCGCCCGCCTGCTGCTGCTGCGCGGCACCCCAGTCCCCCTCTGGGAGCTGCAGTCCCCGCGCGCTGCTCCTCAGCCCCGGCCAGAGACCCCCAGAGCGGCCCACTCCACGACCACCCTGCAGAGAGAGCCGGGGACTCTGCCCCTCCCCGCCCACCGCTGGGCCGGCCCTCACTCGTTTTTGACGAAGGCGTATTTGTTGATGGTCTCGACGACGTCTCTGAAGAGGATCTTGGAGGTCAGGGTGTAGCCGTGGTGGACGATGGGCTCCCCATCGGGCCCGTCCCAGCAGTCCACTGCGGCAGGAGGCCACGGTCAGCCCGGGGCCCGGACATGGACGCCGGAGCCGCAGCCGGGCCCCCGCCCCCAGGGGCCAGCGGCCCCGCGCCCCGCCCGCGCTCACCCTCCACGCAGCGGCAGCCGGCCTGCAGGACCCGGGCGTACATGTCGGCCCGCGACTGGGACATGAGCTGGTCGCCCGCGAGGTAGGTGTTGTGGGAGGAGGTGATGAAGTAGTGGCTGAGCGGCCGCGTCATGTCCTGGTGCACCCCGTGGTGCTCGGGGTTGAAGATGTCGCCCGCGGGGCTGCGCATGTAGTTGGTGAAGCCTGGGGGCGGGGGCGCTCAGAGGGCCGCGGGCGCAGGGCAGCGGCGCAGGCCGCCCCGCCCGCCTCAGGCGCCCCGCGGCCGAGGGCGCCCCACTCACCGTCGATGCCCAGCACCCCCTTACTCTTGTTGTCTGGGCAGGGCTCAAACTGCTGGATGATGTCCCGGCAGCCCTCCAGAGTCACGCCCGCCACCTGGGCAGAGCGAGGGCGTGAGCGGGCCGCCCGCCCGGCAGATCCCCGGCCCGGCCAGCGCCTGCCTCCCTCGCCGCATCGGGCTGGCCGCAGCGCCGGCCCCGGGTCCCTGGCCACCCTGGAGTCAGCCTCGGCCTCGGGACCAGTGGAAGGGGCGGCCCTGGCGCAAGCCCTTTAGCAGGGCGGCGTCCTGCCGTGAGCCGTGGCCAGGGCCGCCCGGCGAGCACACGGTCTGTGGGAGGGCGCCAGAGGCCAGGCCCACATCGAGCCCCAGGGTCCCTCACAGGGGAGCTGTGCCCCGCAGCCGAGTCCCGGGATCCTGTGCTGGAGGCCGAGGGAGCACCCGCGGGGTGGCCCAGGCCCACCTGGGGGCTGCCAGGAAGCCCCAGGAATGAGAGGTGCAGACAGTGGTGGGCAGGGGCAGCTGCAAGCCTTGGTGGGCAGAGTGTGGGGCCAGGCCAGGGATCCACCCACCTGCCGGGGGCAGTTTCGACCCCAGATGACAGGGAGAGTTCTGCCGGTCCTGTCCCCCGCACCTCAAGCCCGGCAGCCAGCACGGAGGCCCCTCACCCTCAGGGACCTGGCTCTCCTCGCAGCCACTGGCTTCCAAGCTCACGCCCACGAGAGCAGGGGCCGCCGGGGCCCGGCTGAGGGTCTGAGCCCTCCCCCTCCAACAGGACAGGGCCCGGGGAGCCCTCGCCTGTGGGGCAGGCAGGAAGGTGCCACCGGCCCTGGGGGGCATCTGGGTGCGCCCCAGACATGTGGGTGGAGGCAGCTGGGCCTGGGGCACGAGCCTGTCCCACCCGGGGGGGCTGAGCGCGCCCAGGCCGGTGCCGAGGTCAAGCTCAGGCTCCCCTCTGGAGGCCCCAGGTCAGGGCTGAGCGGCCAAGGCCGAGGAGGAGAAACGGGGGCCTTCCCACCCGCCGGGTGGCCCGGGGCCAGCGGGTTCCCTGGGGAGGCGGCTTAGGGCACCCGGCGTGTCACCCCGTCCCCTCAGGGCTGGGCCTGAGCCGGCCAGTCCCCGCTGCGACGCCCCACCTTCTGCTCGGCCTCCAGGAAGCGCTGGAGGTCGGCGGCCTCCAGGTGGTCCTTGTGGTTGCTGTAGGTCAGCAGGAGCAGGTACAGGTCGCGGCGAGTGGACATCACCTTGTAGAAGGTGCAGAACTCCTCGAAGCCCAGCGCCCCCTGGTGGTCATCCGTGTCCGCCTCCTGCAACGCGCGGCCTCTGGGTGCCCCGCAGCCCGCTGGCCACCCCGCCGTCCACCCGCCCCGACGGCAGCCCCGCACCACAGCCCTGGTCAGGCTGCGCCCAGAGGCGAGTGCAGTGACCCCTCGCCGCCCCAGCCCCTGGAGCCCCCGGCCCCAGGCCCTTCTCAGCCGGCCGGCCTGAGCCCAGGTGGGCACCCACGCTGACCCTGCCCGTCCACCAGGATGAGAAGTGCAGGCCCGGGGTGTGGGTGCGCCCCAGAGTCGGAGGAGCTCTGGTTGGCGCCATCACCGTCAGGCACCGGCTCGCTCTGCGCCCACAGGTGCCCGGAGGCCCCTCAGGCGGGCCAGGCCGGAACAGGGACGGCAGCAAGGGCACGGTTGCGGCCTGGCTGCGGGCATGTCCACTGCAGACCTGCTCTGGCCCAGAGCCCCTCTCCAGGCTGAGCCAGACAAGGCCCCGGGCAGGCCGCCCGCCACAGCCCACCTGCTGCCCCACACCCAGTGTGGGTGGCCGCCCGCTCAGCCTGCGCAGGTGCCCCGAGCGTCCCCACGTGCCGCGCACAGGACAGGAGCTGCTCCTCGCGCAGACCCGGCCTGCGGCGCCCCGCCCACAGCGCCCAGCCGCGGCCGCATCTCCAGGGTCTGCCTCACCTTCCAGGGCCTCACCTGAGCACCCTCACCTGGCATCCTCCCACCCCTCACCTTGAACATCTGCTTCACCCTCTGCCGTGGCAGGTTCACGTTCAGCTTGTGCAGCAGCTGCAGGACCTCGCCCATGCTCAGGCTGCCGTCCCCATTCTTGTCGGCCTCGTCAAACGTCTGCTTCAGCCACTTTGGGGCCGAGTTAGGGGCCAACGCGGTCGGCAGGGCCCGCCCGGCCGCCCCAGGCAGGAGCCAGACCCAGCACGAGGGCCCCGCCCAGCCGCTCCACAGAGGCCCCCCCTGGGTGCACCCGGGGCAGCTCTGTGAGGCGTGTTCAGGCTCTGGCCCCCGGGCGGCTCTGGCCCCCCACGGCTCTGGCCCCGAGCTGCCCACAGCCAAGGATATTGGTCCCTGGTGCGCTGGCGCCGGGCCAGGCTGTCCTCGTCGCTGATGCCGGCCATGAGGTAGCGCAGGCCCGTGACCCAGGTGCGCGCCTCGTCGCCACTGGTGGAGACCAGGTCCAGCGACTCGCGGTGGCCGCCATGGTAGATGCTGAAGCAGCAGTTGGGGTCGAAGCTGCCCTCGGGGTAGCGCTGGAAGATCTCCGACTGCAGGCCCTCGCTCACCTCCTGGATGGCGTCGATGGAGACTGGGGGGCAGTGGTCAGCACTCGGAGTCACAAGGGGTTCACACGACAGCTAGGTCCAGCCTGCGGGGCTCCTCCCACCCCAGGCTGGGGGCTGGGGCCACACTTTGGGGGCCTCGGCGGAGCGGAAGGAGCCCTGAGTCCGCCTCTGCCCACTGCCCTGCCAGAGACCTGCCTCCCTCCTTGCACTGTGCCCGTCAGCCCACCCGGCACCCAGCTGGGGCTGCAGGACAAGCCGCTCCCCTCGTTCCAAGGCCAGAGTGGCCGCCGCCCCATCAGGCCCCCCTGTGCCCCAGCCCAGGCTCATCAAGGCTGTTGGTGGACGCCGCCCCCGAGGCTGCACAGCGTCTGTCCAAAGCTGTGTCCCCTGCAGCGGTGAGAGCAACGGGCACCATAGGGCCTGCGTCCTGCAGCCCCAGGCCCCTGGGACCTGGGGACCACCCTGACCCCCTACCCTGCACCCACGTGCCACTGCAGCACCTGCTCACCCCACCCACTCTGCGTCCTCCCGGCACCGCCGGGCCCTGCAGCCAGGGGCCGCCCCCATCGGCACAGTGCAGGGGCCGCTGCCCGCACTACCTCTGCCCCAGGAGCCCCCACTCGTCCCTGCCCCGAGCACACAGAGCCCATGGCCCGGGGGTGCCCAGGGAGCATGGTGGGGGGCTCTGGGCCTCCTGCTCTGCCCTCCAGGGAGCTCCTCCGAGGTGAGGGCCTGCCCAAAGTACCCAACTGGGTGCTCTGGGCCCGGCCTGCAGGCCTCTGGCCCCCGCCTTGCCAAGGGCTCTCGTGGCCCCGTCCACTGCTCAGCCCGCTGTCCTGTTTCTCCCTCATCCAACATGGCGAGGTTGTCCTGTCCTGCGGTGGCGTGGTCCACCTAGCACTCGAGTGGTGAGTCCCCACGGTGTGCAGGGAACAGCGCCCAGCACAGAGCAGGCGCTCCCGGCTGAGCACAGGGGCTCCGCCTGCAGTGGCCCCGCCTCCCCGGGCCCAGGCCCAGCCTGCGGCAGGCGGCCTCCCGGGGCCCGCGCCTGCTCTCCCGGGCCCTGGCGGCAGCGGCACCCGTGGCAACTGGCAGGCGGAGGCCCGGCCTGGGCCCCAGGTCTCCCTGCACGAGCCCCACCCGGGCCGGGAACCCGGCCGCCAGGACTCACACCCCTCCCTGACCCCGGGGCCCACAGCCTGGGCCCCGCTGAGTGGGCCACCCCCCAGCCAGGCCCAGCCTCCCTGCAGCGCCCCCCATCCAGCTGCTCCCCCGCTGCCGGGCTGACATTTGGCACCAAGGTGCTCGTTTGAGTGCCCTGCGGGCCTGTTTGCAGGAGGCATCGTCTCCCCAGTCGGGCGGGAGCACCTGGCCCAGGGCTGGGCGCTGAGGAGGCTGGGTCTCCCCTGAACCCCCAGCGGCCCGGGGCCTGACCCCGCCCGGGTCTAGGGGTCGCTGTGAGCTCTGGGCCAGGCCTGGAGGCATCTGGCCTTGCTGGCCCCTGAGCCCGGGGCGGGTGCGGGCCGGGAGTCCCCCAGGGCGGCCGCGGGTGTCCCCCACTCACTTTTGGCCTTGTCGTTCTTGCGGGAGGGCCGCCAGCGGATGCAGGAGCGGTGCTCGTCCAGGAAGTAGAAGCGGGCCAGGCCCCGGAAGCCGCCGCGCAGCTTCAGCATCTGCGTCCCCGCCTGCATGGCGCGCAGGCAGCCTTCCACTGGGCAGGCGGCGGGCGGGCGGACAGACACAGGCGGTGGTGAGTCCCGGAGCCCACTGCTCGGCTGGAGACCCCGGCAGGCCCCCGCGGGCCACCAGGGTGCACCCCCACCCAGCCACTCCGCGCCAGGGGCCTTGGGGGAACCCCCTGGCCCAGCAAGGATGGCACCGGGCACATGGACCCCAAGTCCACATGCAGGCCACAGCCCTGCACCAGGATGCAGGACCAGGGAAGGTGCCCGTGGGAGCCTCAGCCCTACACCCTCCCAGCTGGAGGCTCCCAGGCCCCTCCCCTCCCTCCTCTGCGCTGCCTGCCTGCATCCAGGCCTGCTCCGGCCCAGGGCAGGTGGCGGCCAGGCCAGTGGCCCCCTGGGTCCCGGGCGGCAGGCTCCAGGGATCCAGGTCAGTCAGCCCTGGGGCCCTCTGCAGCTGCTTGCAGAAAGCCTGGGTCCCAGAGGCGCCATCTGCCATGGTGCAAAGTAATTAGTCCCATGAGACCCCCCAGAGAGACCCCCAGGCCCACCGGCAGCCAAGGGGACCAGCTGGGAAGGACTTCCAGGGAGGAGGGCCGAGAGGATGCCAGTCTGTGGCCTTGAATGGCAGGCTCTGGCAGGGGTGGGGTACAGGTAGGCTGGGCTCCCCAGACACACCTGAGTGGGGTACAGGCCAGGCTAGAGCTGGCTCAGGTCCAGGTCCGTTCTGCTGGCTGGGGTTGTGATGGGGGTGGGCGGGAGGCAGTGAGTTCCCAAGCCCCCGAGGAGACCCCAGAGGTGGAGCACCTCAGGCCACGCCAGACCGGTGGCCCCCGCAGGGTGGGGAGGTACATTGGCCGTGGAGTGTGGAGGACAGGGCAGCTCAGGAGCCAGGGGCTGCCCAGCCCCAGCCCCAGTCCCGGTGCCTTCTGCCCAGCCCCGTGCACACTGCAGACCCGCCCGCCTGGCCCGCGCCGTCCCTGCAGCCCCCTCTGGACAGCTGCTACCACGGGGCTCTCTGCACTTGGGGGGCCTGCCCGCCTCCTCCCTGTCCCCCGGGGGCGGCCAGCCATAGCAGCCACGTGCACACGCAGGCACAGGGTAGCCCGCCGGGCAGCCGGCCAGCGCCAGCCAACGCCAGAGCCCCACCTGCCTCGGCTGGGTCCTGGGGCGGGAGCACCGGGAGCCCGAGGCCATGGTGGCAGCGCCCGTGGGGGGTGGGAGGAAGGGGCCGCACGGCTGCTGGCCCCGGGGCCTCGTGGGAGCGCCAGCACCCCCAGCGTGGGTGACCGCGGACCCCGTACCCCCGCGCCTGGGCTGGTGCCCGCGTCCTCGGGACGGCCCCGCCTGGGTGACGGCCAGCCCCTGGGCCCCCAGGACGGCGGCGGCACTCGACTCCGCTCTGCGGGATTAATCTTGTCCTAACAGGGAGGGCAGCAGGGCCGGCGGCCGCCTCCCCCGGCCAAGGCCGCAAACTCAATGCAAACGTCCAAGGAAACGCACGGACACCCGCGGGCCTCCAGGCGCGCGCCCCAGCCCAAGGCCTCCGGGGCCTCCACGGGCCCTGCCTTGGCCACGTCACCTGCAGGGGGAGAGGCGGGTCTTCTGGCCCGGCCTCCGCTGGGGCCGCCCTGAGGCCCCACCTGTGCACACAGGCCCTGGGGTGCAGAGCTGCCGGCAGGGGCTGCGGCGCCGCAGGGGACAGCGCACAGGAGGGCCGGCCCACTCACAGATGGTGGGGACTATTTCCACGTCTGGGAGCGGCAGCTCACCCCCCCCACAAGTCTGGGCGCCGCCTCCCCAACTATTTTTACTTCACCAGGGAGTGTGAGTCGACTGCCGGCCCCTCCGCAGGCCGGACCCCGGACGGTTGTGCCTGCGGGTCCCGCTGGTGGGGGGCATTTGGCCACAGGCCCCGGCTGGCCTGGGGGTCCAGGGGCGCCCGGGAGGCTGCAGGACGTGCCCTCCCTGCAGCGGGGCCTGCGACGGCCATCGATTGCAGGACACTGCGAGTTCTGTGGGCCGCCCCTGGCCTGACTCCACCCAACTCAGAGGAGAAGGGGGCCAGACTGGCCCTGGGCCCCAGAAAGCCGGGGATAGTGAGCTGGGAGGCAGCCCTGGTGGCCGCCACGCTGGGCCCAGTCACCTGCCCTGGGCCTCCTGCTCTGGGCAGCACCTGCCTGTGGCCCTGATGGCCCGAGCTCTGGTTAGGAGTGATCTCCAGGGAGACCGTGGACACCCAGCAGCGCAGAGGGGGCAGGAACGTCCTCAGTGGCCGAGCCCTGCAGCTGCCCGGGGCTCCTTAGCACGGTGGCCTCTCTGAGGTCGGGGTGAGCAGTGCCCCGGCCCTTCCACAGAAGCCCTTCCTGTGCCGTGGAGCCCAGGCTGCCCCGGCCTGCAGCACCGCAGGGCTGGGCCTGGCACAGGCAGGCCCAGCATCTGGCCTCCACTGCCCGCCCTCAGCCTTCTGCCTGGCAGGCCACGCCCCGGCTCCGCGGGGCCCTCCCTGCGTGGCCCCCTCCCCCCCAACCTCCCCCCCACCAGCCCCCTGCCTCACTTCAGAGCCCCGGTGCTCCCTGGCGGGGTCTGGCCTGTGCAGCGGCCCCGGGGCCCAGGGAGCAGCTTGGGGGGGCAGGCGGGTGACCCACGGCAGCAGCACAGGGGGCACGTTCCTGAAAAGTCACCAGATGGCGGAGAGGAAGCCCCCGCAGGGTGAGCAGTCCGGCAGCCTCGGGGGTCCCGGGCGTGGGGAGGCGGGCAGCAGCTGGCGGGCTGGACACTTGTGGGCGGCGCGGGCACAGAGCCAGGGAAGATGGCGCCCCTGCCCCCGGGGCCTCGGGCACTGAGGGCGCCTCGGCAGCACAGGCTCCAAGGTTGCCTCGTCAGTCTCCAGCGCCTCGTGGGGGCTCCTCATGGAGCCGGGTGAGGCTCCCCTGAGGCTCCCCAAATTCCCCTCCACACTGACCCCCGCAGCCGGAGGGAGCTGTGGAGACGTAGCCCCTGGGCTGGGGCCCGGCTGTCCGGCCAGCTCCTGGAGGGTGCGCGTGCCCCCGAGCATGTGTGGGTCCCCGGTTCTGAGCAGGCTGAGGGGCCCTGTCCCTGCGCCGGGCTCCCAAGCGACTTCTGCCGGCGGACCCCACAGCCCGCCCGAGCCCCAGCGCACACCGCCGGGGCCCAGGCCAAGCAGGGAGTCGGGGCCCCTCTCTCTCCCGCCTCCTCCAGCCCCGAGGCCCGGGCGTGGACACCCTGCCCTGCTGTGCCCAGCTGCCGGGGGCAGCTGCCGCTCCCACGGCTCCCCGGGAGCCAGAGGAGGCTCCCACCGGGGGCGGGGGAGGGGGCCGACGCCCCACTGCCGAGCCCACGCCCGCGGCCCTCCCCGCGCAGGCAGGAAGTCCGGCCAGCCGGTGGGCCCGCGCTGCCAAGCCGAGAAACAGGCCTCTGATTACTCATCTCCTCGGCGCCCCCGCCTCTCAGAGCGCGGAGCCCCAGGCTCGCACCCCCGCTGCACGCCTGCCCGGGATGGGGCTGCTTCCCGCGGGGCCGGCCACCAGCTTCCAGGGGCAGGCGGCACGACCCCGCACCTGCTCGTTCGCCGTGAGGTGGAGGGGCCCCCGGGCCCGGCTGCTCCGTCCTCTGCCGCGCTCCAGACCTCCCTCTCCAGGCAGGCCACCGGCCAGCGAGCCCCAGAGAGCCGGGCCGCAGCGGCTCCCTCCTCCAGAGGCTGGGGTGCAGGCCAGGCTGCCACTTGCTGCCTGCAGATATGGGGGGCCCGGCCCTGGCCCTGGCCGGGGGGCCCCAGAACCACAGCTGTCCCCACGGGGGCCGGAGCGTCCTGCTCGGGCGCTGCTGCCTGAGTCCGGGTCCGTCCGGGGCTGTTTGTTCCAGGCTCCCTGCCGGCCCCCGGGCAGCCGGTCTGGCCAAGGCCTCTCGGGGGCCACTACCCATGGGAGTCCCGCCCCCCCGGGGGGCTGTGGTCGGGGGGCAGGTGCAGCACGCGGCCCCCCGGCAGCCCGCAGCCTGTCCTGTCCTGCCGCCCCGCCACAGCAGCGGGGGAGGGGCCGGGGGCAGGCTTTCCTGGAAGGCCACCAGGCCGGGCCCCTGCTCGAAGGAGACCCCCTGCGGCCCCTCGCGGGCCATCAGCGGTCACAGGCCGCAGCCTACTGGAGGCCACGGCTCAGCACAGGCAGCGCCGAGGACCTGCCCCCGTCCACCCGCCAGTGACCCCCACGGCTGCACCTGCTCCCCAAGGCGCTCCCAGCCCTCCTGCGTCCACACCCATCAGGACGGAAAAATCAGGTCCGGAGCAGCCAGGACTCCGACGAGCGGCCAGTGCCCGGGGCATGCTGTGCCGGGGTCCCGTCCCTGGCCAGGAGCTCCGGTCCCGCCAGGTCCCTCTGCCCGCAGCTGCACCCCTTCCTCCTCGGCCACCTCCCACCCCGGCCAGGAGCAAGTGTGGGGCCCACAGACACCCTGGCCAGACGCCCTGCCCATCCCCGCAGGACCAGCTCCGACACCCAGCCGCCCCGTCGTCACGCTGCTTGGAGCCCGATGGGGCCGGACGGCCTGCCGCCCGCCACTGCGCCATCTGCCCAGGGCAGGCCTGGCCCCGGGGCAGGACAGGTCTGAGCAAGGACCCTCATCCTGGCGCCGGGTCTGGTGGGGGCCAGCGCGGCCCCAAGGGCAGGTCCCCGGGCAGGCGGCCTCTGCCCTGTCCATGGTGCTGACTGAAGCTCAGGGTCACCCCCTGCCGGTGCCCGGGCAGTGCAGAGGGGTGAGTGGGGCCGGGCCAGGCAGCCCCCAGGGTTCCATGGGTCAGGACCCACCAGTCCTGGCACCCCCAGATCCGGTGTCCGCTGGGGGCAGGCTGGAGGTCGGGGGGCTGTCCACTCAGCGAGCACCGCCTCCTGACCACTGAGACTGTCACCCTTGGCAGGAGATGCCGGCACGGAGGGGGCCGGGGCTGTCCCAGAGACGGGGGGCGGGGGGGGTGGTGCGCGGGGCGAGCACAGCCTGCGGAGCGAGTGGCCGCGCGGGGTCGCGCCTGGTCGGAGCTGCGGGCAGTGGCCGGGGCGCTCCCAGCCGCCTTCCCCAGC